TGCTCTGTGGGAGAAAGATGAGGTTGTCTGATCCCATCACGAGTTGCAGCCTCAGAAACTATATAGGACTGCTATCCATTGCAATTAACTTGATAGCAGTGGACTTTTAAACATGTTCATGCCTCACCCAGCATTCAGGAACTAATCACCAATGGTGAAGCTAAGGCAGGTCTTGCAGAATACAGCTTCCTTGATCCAGCCCTGGCAAATGCAGGCCGCTCCTCCTTTCTGTGGATCTTCACAGGGAATAAGAGGCCTTGGGACCAGGACCCATGGGAGAACGGCACAGGCACGCTCCACTGATGGAAAAGGACCATGCAGGGAGGCACCAGACCTCCGAGGACCACCGTGGCATGGTGTCCACAGGAGAGAGTCGTACTTGCTAAGGCGAGGATGATCCGTCAGAAGGTTTCCCCATCAATTCTAGTCGTAGGAGAGGTCAAGTCCAGAGTACCAGACGCTGTCAAAGGCACAGGCAGGAAGCTGTTCTGTGTTTTCAGATTTAGGTGCTGAGAGACCCTGCACATCTGCTGTCTTCGTTCCCGAGCGCCACTGGAATAAATGCACCTCATCTGGGTGACTTTCAAGAACAAATTTTATTTCCTCACAGTTCACGATGCTAGCAGTTCAAATTAGGGTCTCGGCCCTGTTTATTTCTTCCTTATAGGAAATCTTGGGGTTTTCTTGGTTCCTTGTCTTCTAGACAATCCTTGCATGAGGTCTGTCTGCCCCTGTTTTTGCTTGGGTCCATATTCTGATTTTCATCACTCAGAAATGATCAGGTTTAGGATTCACCTACACAGATAGGACCCAACGAATTGATGTGTTGTGTTATGTTGTGATGTCATTTCATTGTGTGGGGGTGCTGGTGGTGATTACAGTCCATTAGATAAATCCACAGGGGTAGGGCTTAGGGTTTTAGCACAGAGTAGGGGTGGGGTAGGGTGGGCATAACTCAGTCCATAACCCTTGCCTCTGCCTTGAACCTTCTCCCTGACTTCCTGGGTGGTAGACTTTCTTGCCGACACCCGGTCTCTTTGTTCTGTCGCACCTCTAGGTATCTTGTTTCCTGTAACAAATCTTTTCCACTCAGCGAGCAAAGGCAAGCATTTCATCTGGTCCGATCCCGCTTTTGTGGAGGCACCAGTGAAAGGGGCCAAGTAGATGTGTTTAAAGTCAAGACATTAGAATCTGCGGGCATTTTGATGAGTTACATGAAGCAGCTGAGCAGGATATTTGGATCTGAACTGTCCTAGTACACGGAGGACATATGGGCACAATAGCTTGTTCAGAGGTCCCTGGTGGCGCAAATAGGTAAGCACAAAACTAACTGAAAGTGTGCTGGTTTGAACCCACCCAAAGGCACCTCAGGAGAAAGGGTGAGCGATCTGCTGACAAAAGGTCAGCGCCGTCGGAAAACCTACAGCGTACTTGTCTACTCTTCAAGAAACGGCGTTGTCAAACAACTTAAGAGACTGTTGCTGAAGCAAGAGGCCAACCTCCCAAAAGATCACCCGCAGGACCAAACGATAGGTTGGTCAAGCCACATGAATGGGGACATTCACTCAGCAGTGGGAAAATGGTCAGTGCAGGCTGTCAAGGCAGAAGACCATAAAACCAAATGCACCACTTTCAAGTAGATCCTGACTCAGTGGCCAAGCTCTAACTGTGCCTTTAGGGATGGGGGATAGAGAGGAGAAGGAGGCAGTGAGGTGTCTGGGGGACAAGGGCAGGGGCCACAGTGCAAAGCCCTGCAGATTCCTCCGGGGGTGGAGTGGACACCATGTCACAGGGCGCGATGGGGCTGGCAGGCCGGTACTGGGCTGCAGAGCTGCTGTGATGGTTAGCAGGAGACAGCGTCTCTCCGGATCAGAGGTTCACAGCCGTCGAGTGGATTCTACCTCACAGTGACGCTCTAGGACAGAGAACTGCCCCATAGGGTTCCATAGGACCCCTCCCAGTGGTTGAGCGCCTGCTGCTGACCAGCCCTTCTGTGGGAGAACACTGGAAGTCTGCTTCTCGAGAGAGCACAGCTTGGGAAGCCTTCTGGGGCAGGTCCGCTCCGTCCTATGGGGAGATTGAATCAACTGGACGGCGTCTGATTTTACGGTACACTGGCACAACTTGCTCCTGGGTTCAAACCACTGACCCTTGGATTGGCAGTGGAATGGCTAACAGCGGCACCGCCAAGGATCCTTCCTAGAATAGTGTTCACCCGCTGCCATTGAGTCGCTGCCAACTCACAGCGACTCTGTAGGACAGGGCAGAACTGCCCCTGTGGGTTTTCTGAGACTGTCACCCTTCACGGGAGTCAAAAGCCTCATCTTTCTCCCAAGGTTTCGAACTGCTGACCTTGCGGTACATAACCCACTACAGCAGCAGAGCTCCTTAGGCTTCTGAGTCAGAACTGACTCGACAGCGCCTAACGTCAACAACATCAGGCCAAGGAGCCCAGACTGCATCTCAGACAAAGGCCACTTGGTACTCCAGGGAGGGACTCTGGGAAGGGTGCCCTTGGGCAGAGTCCTCTGCAATGGAGCTTGGGGAGAGGAGCAAGGCTCAGGGGGAAACCCACAGCCAGGCTGCATGTTCTGGCCGCAGGGGCTGGGCTGGCCATGGAATCTCGGAGAGAAGCGCGGTGCACAGGGAGCTGGCTTTGGGGAGGCAGTGAGCTGAGGTGGACTTTGAGGTGACGGCTGGACATCCAGGGGGAGGGACAGAGCAGGCGGTGGAAGGAGACCGGCGAAAGGGCGAAAGGGCAGACGGGGCATATTTGGAAGTCAGTCGTGAAAAAGGAAAAGTAAAAAAAGTCAACATGAATGGGGTCTTTCTGAGGAAAGAAAGAGGCGGAAAACGGGGAGGACTCAACACTATCCGTGAGGGGGCAGAGATAGGAAGGGATGCAGGGGAAGTACAAACGCGGGAAGGAGGCTGAGAAGGCCCTGGGCACACGGAACTACTTCCAGACACTTCCTGCCCGGAGGTGGAGGAGAATGAGCATTTACAGAGGCCACTGGGTTTGATCCCTAACAAATACACGTGGACCGTCTAGGCCGACCAGGCCCCGCTAGGCGGTGAACCCCATTCAGCAGCTGTCTACCAAGCACTCATGGTGGTACCCAACCCTGAGCCTTGCCCAAGGCATGGAGGAGGGAGACTGAGGCCCAGGCCCTTCCTAGAGGGACCTGGGTTGATACCAGCTTTAATTTGCAAAGAGAAAGGAAGGCTAGCTGCTTGGAGGGTGGGAGGGAGAGGAAGTGCATGGCAAATGTGTACAATTCCATCCGCATCTACTGCTGTGGAGTAGATTCTGACTCTTAGAGGCCCTCTTTGGGGGTTCTGAGACTAAATCCTTATGGGAGTAGACAGTTTCATCTCTTTCTCATCAATAGTGGGGCGCTGTTCATGTCTTTTATTGTTGACAATGAAAGTTTAGAGAACTAGAAAAGTCCTTGGAGGGGGCAGATTTGTTTTGCAGCCCTTCCCTCCACCTCTCACCCTACCAAATAGGTGAGACGTAGATGTTTAGAATGTTTGAGGCCCCATCAAAGGAGCCCTGATGGCATAGTGGTTACACATTGGGCCGCTAACTACAAGGTCAACAGTTCGAAACCACTGGCCACTCCATGGGAGAGAGATGAGGCTTTCTATTCCCATAGGGATATACAGTCTTAGAAACTTCACACAGGCGATTCTACCCTGTCTTATAGGGCCATTATGAGGCGGAATTGACTCGGTAGCAGAGTCCAGGTAAGAGAAAAATAACTTGTAGAAGAAGAGAACTTGTTGAGGTAGGTGGAATTATAAAGGTGCTCTGGTGGTATAGTGATAGTTAGGCGTTGGATTGCGATCCGAAAGGTCAATGGTTTGAATTCACCAGCCACAAAAACGGGTGAAAGCCGGCTTTCTACTCCCCTAACAGAAAATCACAGGTATAGTTCTGCCCTGTCCTGTAGGGACTCTACGAGTCAGCATCGACTCCATGGCAATAAGTTTGGTTTTTGAGTTAAACTTAAGATGTAGCCCGCTCTTCTGAAGAGTCAAAGGGCCCTGGGGGTGCTGTGGATTAGGCGCTGGCGTGCTAACCACAGATCGGCTGTTTAAACCCACCTGTCAGTCCACGGGAGCAAGATGAGGCTGTCTGTTCATGTCGAAAGGCGGTCTTGGAAACCCTGGGTAGGCTCGCTGAGATCCGGAATAGGGCGGATGTCAGTGGGTGTGTTGTTGGGTTTTGTTTGGGTGGGGGTTTTGAAGACCAAGTGAGACTCATTCTGACTCCTTAAGAAATGCGACAACGAGGTACAACATGGTGACCGAGCGTCTGAGCGATTCTGACAGTGTGCGGTTGGAAAATGCTGTGGGAGTAGGAAGGGGGCACCCATGGAGAGGTGACATCAGCGATGGCTTCTCGGAGGAGGTGGCCTTCCATCTGAAACTTGAAGAATGGCCGTATTGGGATGGGAGGAGCGAGAGGGAAGGTCAGGACATCCCCTGTGGCGGAACCAGCCGGGCTTTCCTCTTCCGAGAGCTCGCAGACCCCACGTCCCACCCGCCTCCCTCGGCTAGCGAGCCGGGCTCGGGTTCCCAGCACTGACGTCAGCGGACGATGACCTCAGCTCGGAGGAGGCGGGGGCGGGGCTGGTGGCTGCGCGGGAGGCGGGCCCGCGGCGGTGCGTGGGGGCGGGGCAGACGGCCGGCCCGGCCCCCATCCGCTCGCAGCGACGAATGAGCGGCGCCGCCGACTTCCCGGGCCCCGCCCCCTCGGGGCGTACAGTATGAAAGGCGCGGCCCCCGGACAGTGCGGGCAGATCCGGAGAGCCGGCCGGCGAGCGCTCTCTTACAGGCGTCCGTCCTGCAGCCCTTGCGAGTAGCGGCGCGTCCCACCCGGAGACCTCACAACACTCCCAGCCGCGCACGACATGAACCAGACCCACTGGACCGGGAAGAGAACCGACATGGTTCCGGAGATCGCCGCCGCCGTGGGCTTCCTCTCCAGCCTCCTGAGGACCCGGGGCTGCGTGAGCGAGGAAAGACTTAAGGTTTTCAGCGGGGCTCTCCAAGAGGCACTAACAGGTGGGTACGCTCCGAGGGTCCTGGCACCCGACAAACTCCGCCACCCGAGCGCGGCCCCCTCCCTGCCTGGGCCGCCCTTCCCGTCCTGGGGCCGGGTTCCTCGGACTCGGTTTCCCTCTTCTGACCCCTGGCTTGCCGCAACTTCCTACTCCCCGGGGTCTTGTCTCCTCTCTTCTCAACGCCCCCGGTCCCACCCCTCCACCCGCACGCCTTCTCCAATTCTCCTGCTCTGAGATCTCGGCCCGGGGTCAAGGGGACAGACCCTACTCCTGAAAATGTCACCCCGACTTGTGCTCCCCCCCACCCCAAGAAGGAGGGCGTGTTTGCCAATTTGAGTGTTGCCTTCTCTTCAGTGGACCCTTGAGACCCGTAAGGGACCCTTAAAGCTCCGCCACCTGGTGCCCTCATGGGAAAAGGCGGAGCAAATGATCCGTTTCAACAACCTGCAGACCCAGTCGTGCGTCTGCCCGGGCCAGTCTGGGGTGCTGACTCTCATGTAGTTTGAATCTGGGCCCCTTTGTGCCCCTGGCTTTCCTTCAGACATCTGCTACCCGAGTGAGCCCAGTATGTAGTTTCTGGGCTCTGAGGAGACCCAGAGGAGGTGTGTGAGAGGCAAGAGGTTGACCAGAGATAAGCAGCTGGCTGACTCGGGGAGAGAGAGAGCCGTCCAGCTGTTTCTAGGCCATGGCAGCCGTAGCCATAGTAGCCATCTCTGAACATGCTCATCCAGATCCTGCCTTCTGAGGAGCACAGCTGTTTCAGCAAAACCAGCCGCTTTTTAACCCCCTTACCCCCTGTGAAGGACCCCCGGATCTTCTGATGGAGTCAGAGGGGAGCACTTGGGCACAGTGAGGGACTCAATGACTTACTGTGGGCCCCACAGTGTTGGCCAACTTGGGGGCCCTGAGTCCGATCTGGCTGGCTTCAGTTTGTGTGTCTAAAGGCTCTGCCCGGACATGCCAGACCTGGTCACACCCCTGCCTCCTTATAACTGACTACATGCCAAAAGCAATATACTGGCCACTGGGGACTGGGGAATGCCCCAGACTTCTGGGAGTCCTCACTCTTGCCACCACCCCCCACACCCCCCGCCCTGCAATTCATATACACACTCCTCCCTTTCACACGTACGTCTTGGAAGGGGAGGTCTATCCAGTGCCCATAAAGTTTTCTCTGCTATGGATTATCAGGAAAGTTCCAGGAGGCTCAGTAGAAACCACCTTGCTCCTTCCTTCCCTCCTCCCCCACTTCCCCCTCTCTCCCCATCCTAATCCCTGTGGTCCAGCTGCTCTAACCCGAGCCTCCCCCCTCTCCTTGCCCGCCTCTCTGCAGAGCACTACGAACACCACTGGTTTCCTGAAAAGCCGTCAAAGGGCTCCGGCTACCGTTGCATCCGTATCAACCACAAGATGGACCCAATCATCAGCAAGGTGGCCAGCCAGATCGGACTCAGCCAGCCTGAGCTGCTCCGGTTGCTGCCTAGCGAGCTGACCCTCTGGGTGGACCCCTATGAGGTGTCCTACCGCATCGGGGAGGATGGCTCCATCTGTGTCCTGTACGAGGAGGCTCCGGTGGCGGCCTCCTATGGGCTCCTTACCTGCAAGAAGCAAATGATGCTGGGCAGGAGCAGCCCCTCCAAGAACTACGTGATGGCGGTCTCCAGTTAGACCCCTCCTCTCGCCCTGGCACACCACTGTACTCACCCTGCCGTGACAACAGGCCACCGCATACCTCAGCCTGGGGAACTGTATTTTTAAAACGAAGAGCTATTTATATAGATATTATTTTTTTTTAAGAAAAGGAGGAAAAAAAAAACCAAAAGATTTTTTTTTTAAAGGAAAAAAAAAAGATCCTTAAAGGGAGCTGCGTGGAAGTAGCTTCCCCAGGTGCCTTTGGAGAGAATGTTTGTGTGCTCGAGTCTGGGAGCCAGGGTCTGTCTTGGGGAGGGGAGCAGCTAAGGGGAAGCAGGAGAGGGAAAGGAGAAGGGGAGGAGGGGGTTGAGGCAAGCAAGGTTAGCCACTGTGAATGAGAGCGGTCAGGGTTTGCCCAGGTCGGGAAAGGGAAGCTCAGTCCCAATGTCATGCCCCCCAGCCAAGTCATCTGCAGCCCCGGCCTGCTCTTCTTCAGGGCTTCAAGCCTGGGCTTCGCGATCCTGTTCCCCAGTGGGTTCTTAGGCAGAGGGAGAAGGCCTCTCCTCCTTTCTGTCCTAAGCCGCTTTTCTTTAAGCCTTGACTTATTTCTAAATCTACCCTTGGGGGTGGTGGTGCTGCTGCTGAACATGTTGCTTCCCGTCCAGGAGCTAAAGCTTTTTTTGTGGGGGCCCCAAGGTGGATGGTGTGGAGGAGCAAGGCAGGGGTTGGAGGTCACTGGGGGGGAGACTGAAGGGTACTCCATGCAAAACCTTGACTTTGCTACTTGCTGCTCTGTATGTCTGTGTGGTGAATCATGTGGGGGGTTGACTTGCAATTGGCTTTTGGGACCCAAAGAGTATCCACCCGGGATGGTTTCTGGCCAAAACCCTTCTTTCTGGAACCACATGCAAAGTCCCAATGCTGCTGCTACTACCCCTTTAAGAGGTAACCCCAAAGCTATGGGGAGCTCCAGGCTCTTTCTGACTGCCTTCTTTTCAAAAGCACAACAGCCCATCTCTCTGAAGCCTCCTCCCTTCTCCTGGCTGGGTCCCATGGCGACCCTGCTCTCTGGGATGGGAGTTCTCAGTCACTGTGCAATATGGCCTCCGAGTCCCAGGAGAGTGGAGGACTGGCTGTCAGAGCCGCCTGGTGCCCTGGCTTCGGGAGTCACTGCTCCAGCTGTCCTGGGCGCTCTGGCCTGCTGCGGATGGGAGAGGGCTGTGCGCTACTGGGTACTCCTGCCCTGCGGGGACGCTGACACTAACCGCCAAAACTTGGGCATTGTTTTTCCCTTCTCCCTGGTGCGGAGCACACCTGTGTGAGAGGTGGCTTCCTCTCTCAGGATGATCCAAATTTGTCTGTAGACTTGTGCAATATTTGCTGTTCTGCGTTGGAGGAGAAAACTTAACACTCCCCTGGGAAGCAACCCCGTTCCCGCAGTTTCTCAGTGACTTTGGTGAGGGGTGGTCAGAAGCCCTTGCCGTTTCCCAAACGGAACCATCTTTTGAAACACCTAGCTTTAGCCTCTGGCCGACTCCTGTGCCTGCCTGGAGTGAGGGGGGCCGGGGCGCGGGTGTGTGTGTGTGTGTGGGGGGGCTTCCTTCCCCACCTCCCCGCTGCCCTCCTCCTCTGCCAGTCCCCTGTGGTGGATTTCTGAACTCCCAGATTATGATTCCAAAAGGTGCTATTTACCAAACACTCTCTAGAGCCGTCCCTGCCAGTTCTGCCTCCTCAACTCCAAAGCCGGAGCTGCCTTCCCAGGCCCTGCTGCCAGTCCCGAGTCCTGTCAAGTGTACCTGGAGCCCACAGCCCCGGGAGCAGCTTGCCTGGTCCAGGGGCTGAAACGAAGCTGTGAATCGCTGCAGATTGTGTCCTCGCCTCTGGTCTGCGAGCAGGTCCCTCTGCCTTTTCAGAAATGCACGCGGTCTCGCACACTGACGCTTTTCCCTCTTCCTTTTTGAACGTTCACTTTAAAGATGAGGAAAACCCCAGAGCTGGGTGGGCTGTTGAGCAGGCCTGTGTCTCTTATTAAGTGTGAAAAGTGAATAAAGAATGGTAGTCTGTTCATAAGCTATTCTGACAGAAAAAGACAAAAGGTTACTCCTTGTACAATAATGTTTTTATATGGAAGATTGTGCAGCTTTATGGACAAATGTACACTTTCTTTTTTGTTACTTTAATAAAAATGTAGCAGATGAAGCCGTGTGGTGTAGAGAAAGCAGAGTGCTCAGCTCACTAGTTTGCGTGCCCCCTTCAGATCCACACCTTCGTGTGTGTCCTATCTTCCGTCACAGGCACTCAGGAGGCCTAGAATCTGACTGGTTCAAAAGAAAAATTGAGTTCCCACACAAGCCCTCTTCCCTGGGGCCTGCCTCCTTACTTCCCCTGTGTGTGTTTACAAGCAAAACCCAACTGAACTCACTGCCACGGTGTCAATGCCGACCCTCTAGGACACGGTGGTACTGCCCCGTGGTTTCCGAGACTAACTCTTTACCGGAGTCAAACGCCTCCTCTGTCTCCCAAGGAGCTGGCTGGTGGTTTCAAACTGCTGACCTCACGGGTAGCAGTCCAGTGTGTAACCACTCCTCCACCAGGACTCCCAGAGACAAATAGCTCCCTGTGAAAATACCAGACATGAACAGGGTTCTCCTTTGAACATCCCAAGGCTAGCCAGATGTCCGTCTTCTGCATCCTGCTCTTACTGGGCCTCAGTTTCACTCCTTCCCTTATTCACTAGTTCTCATCCATTCAACAAGCATGCTTTTTCTTTTTTTGGTGAGTGTAGGCACGGAGTATCTTAAAAATGATGAAGGCTCAGTCGGTCTCTCCTAGTTCTGGGACAGAGGAAGAGACACTGAGCCCCTTTCCAGCCCGGAGCAGGCTGCTCTGGAAGTTTCTGGTAAAGGCTCTCTTGGTCATCCCAAGGTCTGCCCTTCACAACTTGCCATTTTTGTCTGATTACCCATGAGCGGCTGGGCCTCAGGATCTGTGCACTCCCTGGCTGCCTGCCACACGTTAGCAAAGACCCTCCCCTTCTGGCAGTAAACACTGGTGTGTGAGCCAAAGGTTTGTTACCAATTCCGAGCTCCCTTTGGCTATGTGGATAGACTCTGCACAAGGAAATGAGAACATTCCTTGCCACCCCCCAGCGCTGGTTCTTTCCACGACGCTTTAACTCAGCCTTCCCACCCCCTACCCTGTCCTGGCCCAGCAGTTCCCACTGGAAATCACAAGTATACTCCTATTTTTGACTTGGCTAAGTTATTCTACCCAGCCCCCCTTGCCCTGCCTGCTCCCTTGACTATAAAGTGGTGGGCTCTGTTTTAGTTCTAAGCATGGTGACTCTTGAACATTCCCTGCCTCATTTCACACCCTGCCTTCATGGTCACAATCAGTAAACATTCAGCCTGTCGGAGATGGGCTGGGTCTGAGAGAGGCTGTGAGTGGGATGTTTGTATGAAGGAAGGGTAGGTGAGCTGGGGAAAAGGGGTGATCAGCCCATCCGTATACATAGAATTTATTCCTGGGACCCACTGGTGTCCACAGTTTGTTATTGAAAGGGATGATCCAGATTGGACCTCCTTCCTCCTCTTCCTCTTCCCTGCCATCCAGCTGATGCAGACTCATAGGGACTCTATGGGGTAGGATAGAACCACCCCCAGGGGATTCCGAGATGGTAACTCTTTATAGGTTTAGAAAGCCCTGCCTTTCTCCCTCGGAGCAGCTGGTGGTTTTGAACTGCTGACCTTGTAGATGGCAGTCCAATGTGTAACCACTCTATAACCACCCGGGCTCTTTGTCTTTGGTGCTCATCAATAAATAAGGACCTACTCTTTGGATGTAGGGACGGGCAGGATGAGAGGTGAGGCAATTTTGTCCATCCTGGTCTGCTATGCTCCTTGGAGCACTCAGTATAAACTCAGGATCTATCTTCTTGCCAGATAAAGTCCCACTCCTACAGCAGAGTTCATTGTCTAGTGTACAGACTGCAATTCTGGGAGGCTTGGTTGGAAGTACAGTGACACTCTTACCCCACCCCTATGACCTTAAGCCAGGGCAGCCACAGAATGGCAGAATCTTCTTGCAGTTGCCTGGGCTCTTGGTAGACTAATGTTCCCTCAATTTATGAGTGGGTTCTACGTTCAAGTAATGGGTTACTTATTTTTGAGCTGGTCACTTTCAGTATGGGTGTGTGTGTGGGGTGGGGTCCTTTTTGACCTGACTGGGGGTTCAGGGGCTCTGGCCAGAGATTTCATGTGTGGAGGGGCTGGGTATTGTTTGGCCTGTTCCGTTGCCAGCATCCCCCCTTGGTCAACAGTGCCGGCTCGGAGACCTATGCTGGGTCAGCTGTTCTGAGATGATAATGCACCTCCCTGAGAGTGTGCACAAGGCCTGGGAGCTGCAGATAAAGTGCCCATCCTGACAAGGAGGTTTGGGTGTCTCAACAAACCAGCCTCGGGAGGAGGAAGCCCACCACCCCTGTAGCCAGCCTCTGGGAAGGAAAGCTAGTGACCACCCAAGTGTCCAGGCTTCCAGGCAGAGGTAGGCTGTGGTCCTGACTCTTCCGACTCCTGAGTTGTGTCCATGTGGGCAAGCCCCTCGGCTTTTTCTGCCTTGGGCACTCATTGTTGTCAGTGACCATTGAGCACAAAAGGCTGCTGGTCCTTGTGGGTGACTGTGGGTCAGAATGCTGGGCTTCAGAGGGTTTTCAAGGGCTGCGCTTTGGAAGTAGATGGCCAGGCCTTTCTTCCTGATCTGCCTTAATCTGGAAACTCCACCGAAAGCAGGTCAGCATCGCAGTGGCACACGGACGGACGTCCACTGACATGCCTGCTGGAGGCTCAGGAGGTACTTTGGGTGGGAATCAAGCCAGGGCCTTTCCCCATGGAAGGTGAGCATTTGCTTCTCCAGTGGTGCACTACTCACTGGTCTCTGCCCATCTCTTCCGCTTTGGTGTCTAAATCATCTCCCTAATCCTTGCCATCACTCTTCTTTTCGATTCTTCCAGGCGCAGGGCTATTTGGACTGGCGAGTGGAGCACGTAGGAACAGTTTCTGGCTGGAGTTGGCGGTCCTGGTTCTGATCTCAGCTCCAGCATCTACCTCCTGACTGTGCAACCCGAAGCCAGGGACTTAACTCATGGTGCCTCCATTTCCCCACTCCAAAAATCGGGTTAAGACTAGAGCATGCCCACCGCAAGGAGTTATAATGAGGTCAAGAAACAGCGTAGAACAGGGCCGGGCACATTTAAGTCTCCAGTACAGGACAATCGTTCCAAATGGAAGTGAGCCTCTTCTTTACAAGGTCTCTGAATGCGTCCTGTGATGACAGATGCTCTGGGAGGAAACCAT